ATAATTTCTAAAAATCATTTTTCGAATTTTCCGTATTTAGCAAAGGCTGAAAACTAAAACTAAAGTTAAAGGAAAACAACTTTTGGTCACAGGAAAATTGCCTTTGTTTTCCTATAAAATAATTTTTCCTCTTTTTTGTGAAAGTCGTTTTTCAGGATCAACATACTTGTTGGGCTTGTTTGGTTATCAGCGGCTAGCGGTTAGCGATAGCGGATTGTGTTAGTGGTTATCAAATAGCGGGTTGTATTAGCGGGTTTGACTAGCGGATTGTATTAGCGGTTTGTAAAAAATTGTTTGGTAAAATTAACTGTTTAGATTAGCGGTTAAGGTATAAAAAGACATATAAGGACATTGCTACAATAACTACAATAATAATACAAAATTATAATTATAATTATAATATATTATTATTATTATCATTATAATTATTATAATTATAGTTTTAGTTAATTTTGTTGTTGAAAAAAAAAAATACAATACAAAGGAGAGCCAAATCCCACATCGATGGGATAACACTGAGGGGCCTTGAGGCTCCTATATAAAAGGAGCCTCAAGGCACCTTAATTTATTCTTCCCATTCGATTCGATGTTATCTCACATTGAATGGGAAGAAGAAATCAACCTCAAGTCTCCTCAATAATTGAGGTAAAACATAGTTGAATTTTTTTATTAAATTAATTAATTAATTATTAAGGACGTTTTGGGAAAAGACCTTTCTTTTCTCAAAACGCCAAATCCAAACGCTGTTATTTGCATCGGTTGGGTTTTAGTGGTTCAGAACAAAAATGCTGTTCCAAATCGTTGTCTAACCAAACAAAAATTTTAGCGTTTTGACTAAGTAAAAACGTTAAAATTGGTAGATACACCAAAATCTTGGTGGATCCGCCATTAACCAAACAAGGCTAAAGTTCAATTTAATTGGTATTGGTAATTATGCATCATTCTTCCTCCTACAAATCATTTAACTCAAAAAAAAAAAAAAAAAAAAAAAAAAAAAAAAAAAAAGAAGACATGTTGTCCATATTAACCGTTGACATAGATGTTAAACTTTAATTATTTTATTTATTTATTTTTAATTAACCCACACCTCCCGTTGACATAGATGTTATACTTTAATTATTTTATTTATTTATTTTTAATTAACCCACACCTCCCCTTCCCTTCGTGGGCTAGAGATGAAGTGCACTTCATCTCCCATTACTAGAGACGAAGTTTGCACTTTGTTTCTAGCCGACGACGAAATGCAATTCATCTCTGGTTGGAGATGAAGTATGCATTTTGTCATTGGAGACGAAAGGGAGGGTGTTGGGTTTTATTTTATTTGTTAAATTTTAATATGTAAAATTAATTAAAAGATAAAAAATTATAAGTCAATCAACATATTTGTTTAGGTTATACGGAGTATAAGATAACTAATGTTATATTTGATTGGTAATATAAGATTCTCATGTTTGGTTCAGGTTATATAACTTTCTCAGGAAATGTTAAATAATATCCGCATTAAGTTTTTAGCTATTGGAAGAGAGTGTGAGATATCCTCTAATTTCTTATGTAATCTCACATTCCCTTGTCTTATTACTAATGTTGGACTTTGTATTTTTTTAATCAATTTATCTTATTATTGTTGTCTTATTTACATATCTTAGTTTTAAACCAAACACAAGAATCTAACATTCTCAACAATCTAACATTTCCTAAGGTAATCTAACATTCCGTGAACCAAATGCCCCCTAATGGTTAACCTGTAGAATAAATCAATTGTGATCCAATTACACGAATTTGGTTTGTTTAGGGAGCTAATTTTTTTTTTTTTTTTTTTTATAATTAGTGTAATACCCAACTATATTTTGGTGTGTAATTCAATGACTAATTTAACTCTTATTTTCTTCATTTGTTATAGCAGTGTTAAAATTGGATATGCTTTCTCCAAATTAGTTCTTCTGAAAAATAAGTTTCCCTCTTATAAAAAAACATGTCATCAAGTCATAGTACAAAGTTATTATGAGGTAACGTAATATATATTACACATTACTATTTTTATAACGTAGGTTTTTGGCATCGCCAAACTATTTATTTTCAAATTAAACTTGTTAATTTCTAGTTGAAAGTACAATTATTTTTTTTCATATTCTTTCCTTCAATTGTTTTCATTGAAAGCACCAAAAATTTATCTAAGTCTATTAACTTTTTTTTCTTTAATTTGAAAAAAAAAGTGTTTTCAACCAAAAAAAATTAAAAATTAAAGTACAAAATTAACAGATTTGGAACACAAATTATTAACAGAAAAGGGAGGAAAAAATTAACAAGATTGAAAATTGGGTCTTTCAAAAAAAAAAATAATAATAAAGTGAAAAAAAAATTGAATAAAAAAATTTGGTGACATCTTTATTTAGAATAACTTGTAGTATGACTTGAGGCATGACATATTTTTGGAAGATAGGAAAGTGGCTTGTGAAAAAGACAATTAGTTGTTGAAACTTGAAAGATAAGAGCCAATTTGGAAGAACAACCAATTTCATCATTGCTATAGCTATACAATGAAGATAAGAGAACGAGTGTAAGGATATATAATATTTTAAGGAATAAGGTCTAAATTCGCCACTGAACATAACATGAAAATGTAATTAGACCAATAAATTCAAAAAAAAAAAAAATACAATTACACCATTAAACACCTTAAATGTATACAATTTTCACAATTTCACTTGATAGCAGGTTATCACCCATTTCATCAGGTTGTCTGCTTACGTGAATGGTGAGTTGACATTTTAAATAATTTTTAATAATAAATTAAAAAAAATGCGGGTTTGCTGCCGGCCACCCGCTTCCCTGCCCCTCCTCCTCCTTCGTCTCCGGTTGTAGACGAAGAGAGATCTCTTCGTCTCTGGTTGGAGACGAAGAGATCTGCCTTCGTCTCCAACCGGAGACGAAGAGCCTGTCTTCATCTCCGACGGGAGACGAAGACAGGTCCTTCGTCTCACACCACCCCCTCCTTCGTCGCCGCCGGAGACGAAGGAGGGGGAAGGGGTGGCCGCCGATGTTTTTTTTTTTAAATTTTTTAATTTTTTTTTTTAAGTTTATCATTAAAAATTATTTAAAATGTCAACTCACCATCCACGTAAGCAGGCAACCTGCTATCAGGTGAAATTGCAAACATATGGGGGTGTTCAGTGACCTAATTACACTTTTTTTTTTCCTTCGATGGCCTAATTGTATTTTTAGGTTACGTTCGATGGCCAATTTGAACTTTATTCCATATTATAATAATCACTACCAATTTAACGCACCGTATGCAAATTCTCATGTCCAATATTAAAAAATAAAGTTGTAGATTGAAATTATTTGAATTATATATATATATATATATATATATATATATATAAAATTTGAAATAAATAATCTAACATTTTTTTTTATAGAATAATGTTTAAAGAAATGTCAAATGAATTAAAAGCAATTAATGCACTACACAATTGGTTCATGGAATGAATTTTGAGAGTGAGAATATTATTCCATAAGAAATAAAATATGCAATGAATAAAAATAGGAATTTCATTTCATTTTTTAGTTCGTTGAAGAAATAGAAATGCAATAAACATTCATAAGATAAAATTACCCTCAACACACACACGCATGTGTGTGTGATGTGTGATGATGATAGTTATCATGTTATGTGTCTATAGTTAACATGTTTTGTATCCTCTATTTATTTATATGCACATAAACAGTTAACTTCATGTACATAATATTTCAAACCTTGATCCATGATGTACATAATAGGGGTATTTATATATTTTTTTAAAATATTACATTTATATCCCTTAAACTAATCAAACATTGTACTAGATTGTACAATATTTCTACTCCATTAAAATCCATTCCATAAACCAAACGTGTTGTAAAATTTGAATTGTATTTATACTTGGAGCAAACGTACACCCCTTTTCAATGTGAGACAAATGTTATTTAAAAGTCTTTCCAATTCAAATGAGAACACTGTGAGAATCAATTTTTTCATTCACTATTATCAATTCTGAGCGTATAATATATCAAATTCATCTTCTTAACTAGCACAATTCTAATAAACTTTGATTCAACCCAAATCAAAAGTGGAACTCACTCAAAATTAAATTTGTAATTATACATTTAAAAATATTTAATTTGAATCATCATCTAATTTTCTGATTAAAATATTAAAATTTGTTTTTTTAGTACACCGTAACCTATGCTAATCTTGATTGAGATGAGATTTGAACCTGAAACATTCATTATGGAATATAGAAAGCACAATAATGCTTTCAAATTACAAAGTATTTGACAAACTTTGCTTTAAAAAAAACATTTTCTTGTAACTAAACCAAAGAACTTGTGGTCAGTGACTCTCCCAAATGGGAGCTAGGTCTCTTAGGTTCGAATCTCAGTGGGAATATTGACTCTTTGTGCTTCAATAGGTTTATAAACATATATTATATTGTAATAGAGTCAATAGTCCTTGATAAGAATGTTTAAGGAGAGATTACTTCAAACATAAGAAAATGTCTATATGTGCTCCCAACTTTTACTCCTACACACAAAATATTGATGTAGACACTTGTATTGCAATCCACATAAGAAAAATAGCTTATCAAAGCCCATCACATTAAAGATTAAAATTAGAGGAGTAGAATTTGAGAGTACATATAGTAGAACTCTGAAATATACCTCGATTACTAATTGGGTGAAAAGATGAGAAACAAAAAAAAAAAAAAAAAGAGGTAATATTTTAGCATAATCTTAAAAAGTAAGTTCGATAAGATGAATGATTAAATCCAAAACCAAAGGATAAGAGTTTTGACAAAACTTGATAGTGAGACCTTGAGGCGAGTAATATGAGCGCACCGTCACAGCGACAGGCGCTTGTGACTTGGATTGGAATTCTCAAAAAGGAAAAAGTGGAAATCATATTATATTATATAATATATATATTTATATTTTTATTCTATAAATAAATAAATATATAATTGAATACAGATTACCTGGACATCTTCCCTGTTTTGTCTAAAGCTTGCCTGAACCGAGTAAAAAAAAGCTGTGTTGTTGAGCTCCAAATTCCTCACAAAGTCAAGGCAATGGAAACTGCTTCTGCTAAAGTTGAAAGCTTTTGACGGATCCTCAGAGAAGTATGGTAAGTTAGCAAATCATTTGATTTAGTTCCTTTAGTTTCCTTTTCGTGTTCGACTGTGCTGTTATTGGATTTCTTCATCGGGATGGTATTTCCTGATCTGGGTGTGTAAACAAGTGAACTTTTCTTGGTTTTATGGTGTTCTTGCTGCAAATCTTTGTTGAATTCTTTAATATTTGTTTTTTCCTGTGATTGTTTGGGGCTGATTCTCTCGGGGAAGACCTGTTTAGGCGTTTAGCTGCTGTATTCTAGGGTTTTGGACTTTGGGATTTTTTTTTGGAAACTCGCATCTCCGGTTTAATTCTGTTCAATTGAATGGAAATCAAGTCAGAATTTAGCTGCTTTGTTTTTGAATTTAACAGGTACATAGAATTTTTGTTAAATCGCATCCAAGTAATTGAAATTATACATTTATTTTTTGTCAAATTTTCTTTACCTTTGATGGCTGCTAGTGCTTCTAAATAGTAAAATGTGGGGAGGGCTTTGCTTTTTTGTCAATGTCAGTTAAATTTCAAGAGTTTGAGTAAACCGTCATGATTTCTGAATTGGCCGTGAGGTGTGTGATTTCTTATGAAATGCGATTTTTTAAAGGGGAATGAACTATGTTGGAACATGGATAGGATTCTCAACTTATAGTCATAGTTGTTTAGCGTCATGGTTTTTGTATGTTAAACTCCTTTTTGTGGAGCAACTAATGATGTGAATACATTTTTTTTCTTTTTCTTATTATTAGTAGTGTAATGCACTAACGTGGGAAGACAACTTCCTTTTTATTTTTTTTACCACCATGCCTGCAAGTAACTTTTATATACAATTCCTACATAGTAGAGATTCTTAAACCTATGCTATAATTGGTTCTTAAAAACAATACATTTCAACATGGTGAGTTTCTATTGAATTGGGCGAGTAATTTTTCCCCCGCTAATTAACAGTGAATTGTATTGGGTAAAGAGCTTTTATTTAGGGAAAGTTGCACTTTTCGTCCCTAAGTTATAGGGTAATTGTAGGATTCGGTTTTACTTGTTGGTCGTGTTCACTTCTTGTCCCTAATTTATAACTGACATTGTGAATTTCGTCCTTTTTCTAATAGGTCGTCTCACTTCTCATCCCTAAGATATAGCTGACGTTGCAAGCTTCGTCCCTAATATTTTGTTGGAAAAAAGACAAAATTTGCAACTTCAGTTATAGCTTAGTGACGAGAAGTGAGCATGACCAACAAATATATGGACGAATCCTACTATTACCCTATAACTTAGGGACAAAAAGTGCAATTTCCCTTTTATTTATTTATTTGTTTCGCAATAACGTGAGCGTATACATTTATATTTGTGAACCTTTTTTATTTGCATTAACAGTAGGTGTTTTGAAATGATAGAATGGGGGATTCTCATGCTTATGTTAATGTTGTTTAACTTTGAATAGTTTGATAATTGATAGGTAAAATGTTGAGTTATGAAATGACCGTTGGATGTGTGTTTCATTTTGAAATTTGTTCTTTTTATCGGTTTGACAAATGTCAGATCACTAATAGGATTTGAGAACTCTCAGTTGTAATTGTTTGCAACGATAACTGCTCATAGAATCGATATTGTACGATTCTATTGTATTCCCTGTTTGTGCTGTGGGGGCTAGCTACTGTGTAATTTCGTTAGTTCATTGGTTAGTACTGATAACAAAATATCACTACTGAACTTATCTTCTGTGCTTTGCTGTAGGTGTGTTCATAAGAAAGTGTTGCAGCTGAGATTGAAAGTTTATAATGGAGTCTTGTAATTGCATTGACCCGCAATGGCCTGCCGACGAGTTACTGATGAAGTATCAGTATATATCAGATTTCTTCATCGCACTTGCTTATTTTTCCATCCCAGTTGAGTTGATATACTTTGTTAAGAAATCTGCAGTTTTTCCTTATAGATGGGTGCTTGTGCAGTTCGGTGCATTTATTATTCTTTGTGGAGCTACACACTTTATAAACTTATGGACATTTGGCATGCATACAAGAACAGTAGCTATAGTCATGACAACCGCAAAGCTATTGACTGCATTAGTTTCATGTGTGACTGCGCTCATGCTAGTGCACATTATACCTGATTTATTAAGTGTCAAAACTAGGGAACTGTTCTTAAAAAACAAGGCTGCAGAACTTGATCGAGAAATGGGCCTTATCCGCACACAAGAAGAGACAGGTAGACATGTTAGAATGCTTACTCATGAAATTAGAAGCACTCTTGATAGGCATACTATTTTAAAGACTACACTTGTGGAGTTGGGAAGGACGCTAGGTTTGGAAGAGTGTGCACTGTGGATGCCTACCCGTACTGGACTAGAGCTTCAGCTTTCATACACTCTTCGGCACCAAAATCCTGTTGGATTTACTGTACCAATTCACCTTCCTGTAATTAGTCAAGTATTCCATACGAATCGTGCGGTGAAAATATCGCCAAATTCTCCAGTAGCAAGGTTACGGCCTGCTGGGAAGTACTTGCCAGGCGAGGTGGTTGCCATCCGTGTCCCTCTTCTGCATCTCTCAAATTTCCAAATTAATGACTGGCCTGAACTTTCGACAAAACGCTATGCTTTGATGGTTTTGATGCTTCCTTCAGACAGCGCTAGACAATGGCATGTCCATGAGTTGGAGCTTGTTGAAGTTGTGGCTGATCAGGTTTGAAAGTTCTGCACATCTCTTGATTAGCTACAAATGAGCTTGAATTGCAATTTATTAGAACATTCTTTAATACAAAGTTCAATAGTTCCCCTCTTCAGCTAGAAAATTCCTCAAGCATACAAAGCTTTTCTGAACTCATTTTGTGTCGGGAAAATTGCACTTTTCATCCCTAAGCTATAGGGTAATTGTGGAATTCGTTCCTAATTGTTGGTCGTGCTCACTTTTCGTCCCTAAGCTATAATTGACGTTGCAAATTTCATCCTTTTACTAACAATACAATAGCGACGAAATTTGCAACATTAGTATAGCTTAGGGACGAAAAGTGAGCATGACCTGTTATTAAAAGGACGAAATTTGCAACGTCAATTATAGATTAGGGACGAAAAGTGAACACAACCAACAAATAGGGACGAATTCTACAATTGCCCTATAACTTAGGGACGAAAAGTGCAAATTTTCCTTTTGTGTCCTTTTTGGGTTCTGTTATGGGTGTTGACCTAACTTGCTGTCATTGTTGACCCAGGTTGCTGTTGCTCTCTCCCATGCTGCAATTTTAGAAGAGTCAATGAGGGCAAGGGATCTTCTTGTGGAGCAGAACATTGCCCTTGATCTGGCAAGAAGAGAAGCTGAAACAGCTGTTCGTGCTCGTAACGATTTCTTGGCTGTTATGAATCACGAGATGAGAACACCCATGCATGCAATAATAGCACTTTCTTCCTTATTACAAGAAACCAAGTTGACGCCTGAACAGCGTCTGATGGTGGAAACAATCCTCAAAAGCAGCAATCTTTTGGCAACACTCATCAATGATGTCTTGGATCTTTCAAGACTAGAGGATGGTAGCCTGCAACTCGAGATAGTCACTTTTAACCTTCACGCTCTCTTTTGGGAGGTAGGATTATTTGTTTTTTTCATCTATGGTTGCCTTGTTTTCTCCATTTTGCCCTTTACAGCTTTGGATGATTAAGAATGTGAGAATGCCTACTTATTACTGTAGGTCCATAATTTGATAAAGCCAATTGCCTCTGTGAAAAAGCTGTCTGTTACTCTAAGTTTGTCTCCAGATTTGCCCGAGTATGCCATTGGTGATGAAAAACGGCTAATGCAAGTTCTGTTGAATGTTGTTGGCAACGCTGTAAAATTCTCTAAAGAAGGCAGTGTATCGATTTCTGCTTTTGTTGCTAAATCGGAATTTTTAAGAGATCCTCAAGCTCCTGACTTCTTCCCAGTGATAACTGAAAATCAATTTTATTTACGTGTACAGGTCTGTAAATTAGGCATTTTTTCATTTGTGCCTATGTGCCATTACCAATCAAATTATTGATTTCATATATCTTGATTGTCTCACATCTGCTTTTCGTTTCTGCAGGTTAAAGATACAGGAGTGGGAATTAACCCTCTGGACATTCCCAAAATCTTTAGCAAATTTGCTCAAAACCAATCATTGTCTACTAAAAACTCTGGTGGTTCTGGGCTTGGCCTTGCTATTTGTAAGAGGTATGTTCTCCCAGTTTAGTTCAGCTTGCCCGTGATCTGTGTAAATAAAACACGTTTTTCTTTTCTATGGAATATGAAATGCAAATACACAAGGGTGCTCGACTTGAAATTATGATTGTTTTCTTTATCTGATATAATCTTTCGACTGTGCCATGACAGGTTCGTAAATCTTATGGAAGGACATATTTGGATTGAAAGTGAAGGTCTTGGCAAAGGAGCTACTGCTATTTTTATCGTCAAACTTGGAATTCCTGGACTCTCAAATGAATTGAATCCCACTCTTGTTCCCAAACTTCCAGCTAATCATATCCACACAATTTTTTTAGGACTCAAAGTTTTGCTTATGGATGATAATAGGTGAGTTACTGTATTATGACCTTTTTTCCGTTGATTTCATCTTCATTCATTCATACTGCAACATCCACTAGGCATCAAAACTATCAGTTTCTGCTTCTTTTTCAGCATGTCCTAGGGGGCTTTCTTGATACTGAATTGCTGAGAAGGATTGGAAAATGAAAACTTACACCTTATGAAATATAAAATAACTAGAATCTGTTCAACAACAAAAACCAAAAAGTTAAAACTAATGTGAAAATGAATTACTTTTCCAAAAGTACTATATAGTATATCACATGAACTGTATGGATACATGAAATACATGTGACTCATTTTGACGGATATCTTACTAGACAATTCTATTTGATTTACCCTGTAGCTTAATTGTCCAATAAGTTTGAATTTGATGGATATATTGATTATTGGGGCAGTATGAGCAGGACGGTGACCAAGGGACTGCTGGCACACCTCGGGTTTGATGTAACAACTGCGAATTCTGGAGACGAGTGCTTGAGAGCGGTTAACCATGAGCACAAGGTAGTAATTATAGATGTGAGCATGACAGGTGTAGATGGATACAAGCTCGCTAATCAGATACATGAAAAGTTCTCGAAACGTCACGAGAGGCCATTCATCGTGGGGCTTATAGGAACCACGGACCGAGTGATGAAAGAAAAATGCTTGAGGGCTGGTATGGATGGAGTAATACTAAAACCCGTTTCTGTGGAGAAAATGAGGAATGTTTTAACCGAGCTTTTTGAGCATGGCGTTGTCCTTGAAGCTCAGTAGGATAGGGTAAGGGTTGCGGGAGGACGAGGACGAGGAAGCGGTGTGTATATATGATTCAGCATTGCGGCAAAATGGCAAGCTGTCGATCCAGTTTACATACAAATGGTACTTATAGAAGTACAAATTTGTAGAATGATGATGTTGAGAAACCATGATGCATTTGTAGAGAACAATAATTTTTCTTCTGAGTAATTCTTGCAGTGTTTTGCATTTTATATCTGCTTCTCTCATCTTCAATATATATATGTATACTTCAAGACAGCCATGCTTGAAGATGTCAATGGAGTACCCTTCCAGGAAAGGAAACAAAGAGTTATTATCAGCATGTTTAGTTCTATGGAACAAGTCATCAATAGAATAGCATTTCTTGAAATAGACTTATTACATCAGCAAACTGGATAGTGGAGTAGAATAACAATTCTTAATCTATTTCATGCTTACTTTACTCTTTTGAACTTTCTATTCTTGAAATTATTGCATTGATTGCCGGACTAGTAGAGTTTTGAGTCAGATTGGTACATAAGAATAATACAAGTTTATAAAAATAATATTAATTGATCCATTATTACTAAATACGGAGTATATTATTCTCTATTTTTTGTTTGTATAAATAAAATTAATATATACCAAATTTCGTTAAAAATATCTGGATATCGTTTTAATATCTGGATAACAATTGGTGTATGTTGCTACTCGTGTGTGAGAGAATTCATAATAGTAGTTTTTTTTTTTTTTTTTTTCTGATTTTTGAAAAGTTTTTGCAGCTGTAATTAGGAAAGAGAAAATGGGAAAGAAGAAGAAAAAAAGAATACTGAAATTTAAAAAATTAAACAAAAAAAAAAAAAACGATTCTGAAAAGCAATAACGCACCCAGCAGTGGTTGCTCTTCACGTGCCACATGATTGCATATTTAAATAACAGTTTGTTAGGAATAAGTGTATTTAGATTTTGATGATACCAAACTCACTAGGAATGCCCTCTTTTTACTCTCGTTGTTTTACATCTTTCATATTAGACGAAAGTTGTTATAACTCACCATGTGATTCGTACTTAGTAGTAAATCTACACGAATTAGACCAGTCTTAGTTAACTAGAACTAGTTGAAGAAGAAAGAAGATCAAGAGAAGATCGAGAGATCAGCTAAGACCAAAGTCATGGAAGGGTCTATCTCTCGTGTATGAAGAACTCAACGAAAGATAAGGACAATCTTTCGTTATTATATGACCCGAGACCACAAGTCAAAGTCTGACTTGATTAGACAAGATTTATATGCTATCAGAAGCATGTTTGTCTAAGTCTCAGTGATGGGTAAATCATCCTAGACAAATGATGTCCTAGGAATGAAATTTCAAATATTAAGGAGTATTTAATGATTAGTACCTTTTCTGCACAAAATGACAAAATGGTTGGTTACTTTTTGAAGCCAACGGCTATACAGTATAGTCGCATTTAAGCCTCCTTACCTAGAGGTCTTTACACGCTGGTTAATAGGTTTGAAATTTTCATCTCCTTCAAACGGATGAATTTCTCACCCTATACATACTCATCTTCATCACTTGAAGAAGTTGTTGGTTTTTATCACTCTTTGCTATCTAAAAAGCTTTCAAACCGATCATCTTAAGCTTTCTAAACCAGCGTGTAGTTGTGAAGACTTATTTCCAAGAAGATCATCCACTCATCTAAGTCTTCATAACACCAAAGAAATCTTGTTGCTTTCTAAACGAAGATCAAGCTACTTCAAGCCAAGATTTCAAGTTGGAAAAAACATCAACATATTCCAACCCTCAACTCTGAAGAAGAAGTTGATAGAGACGGAGTAAACTCAAGGAGTTGAAAAACCTAGCAAGTTGTGGCCCGGCTTAGTGATTAAGGACGCAACTTGGCTTTGTTTGTACTAAGGAGTGATAGTGCAAATCCTTTCACGAGTTGTGAAAGAAGAGTGGAGTAGGCTTTGTTAACAGACGAACCACTATAAAAATCTCCTCTCTCTCTCTCTCTCTCGCTTATTACTTTCGTTCATATTATTTGCATTGCATATCATCCACAATCATCACTTCTTAATCTCTCTATAACGAAAGTGTGCAAAGAAATATTAAAGAACACATAAAATATCCGTTGTGCATTATTCTCTCATGTTTGTTTTTTAAATTCGAAAAGAGTCTATTCCCCTCCCCTCCCCCCCACCCCCCTAGACTCTCCTTAGACACTACTGGGACCAACACAGTTGAACCAACTTTTCTGAAAAAAAACCACATATCTTGCAGGAGGTGTTTTTTTTTTTTTTTTTTTTTTCCTCTTTGCTGATTCTCTCACCTCCACCTTAGATGCCTAACCTTAAAAACCGTGTAAAAACCCTCCATAATCTGCTTAGTATGGATGCTCTGATATTACTATTTTATAGAGGCCCACCAAAAGGCTTCAAGTTGGTCCACCATATTATGGCAATTTATATCGTGAACCAGGATTCACAATGCACTGTGGATCCTAGTCCAATACACAGAATTTGACTTCATAAGGTACAAAATTCATGTTCATAATACACAGAATTCATGTTTGTAATACACATACACATAAAACGATATAATGACCATGAATTTTGTGCATTATGAACATGAATTTTGTGTATTATGTATTCTCAGTTATATAATACACAGAACTCATGTTCATAATGCACGAATTTCATGTTCATAATACACAGAATTCATGTTCAGTATATCGTGTTTATGTGTATGCGTATTATGAACATAGATTCTATACATTATAAACATGAATTCTGTGCATTATGAACATGAATTCTGTGTATTGGATCAGGGTCCACATTGCACTGTGGACCCTGATCTATGATATAACGATTGCCACATTATTATTATTATTATTTATTTATTATAAAGAATTACTATTTTTTTTTTACTTTTTTTTTTTATATCTTTTTGATATTCTAAGACCTTGTTCGTATATATAAACACATTTTTATTACTATTATAATTTCCTAGGGACCTGAGCATATTTTGAGAAATTTTTTTTGGGTATTATTATTTGTTTACACTATTTAGATTATTTTATTGTTCACTATTAACTTTTTAAATCATTGGAGGATATGGCTGGGTAAGCTAGTATTTCTTGTAAACTGTCATCGGCCACCATCATTTAATAATAATAATAATAATAATAATAATCTTTATTTATGATATATTAAGAAGATGAGATGAGATTTTAGATACTGTGTTCTCTATCTTTCTTTAACGACATATTCATGGGAGCTGAGATATAATCTCATCATAAGAAATATTGATATGATCCAATGCACATGTCAGAGCTTTAGGTGATGTGTATGCTTCTTCTGATCATTAGCTTTTTTTAAAGGTTAATAAACCATTGTTTCCACGCATGATTTGGGTATACAGTATACTATTCTTAATTAGATTACAATCATGGTAGGTAAGGTTTTGTCTTTGAGGAACAAAATTGTTGATCGGGTTCTTGGTTTCATGTTGAAATTAATATAATCTCCGATGTAAACTTCTTATAAAAAAAATTACTTAAAAAAATCACGCTGCACAAATATTTAAATAACTCATGTTATGCAACAATGTTCTGATCTTATAAGAGTTGTTCTAAAAGAGGTTCGACTGAAACTCGTTTGAATTATTTTTATTTTGCGAAATGTGAATATTGAAACAATATCTTTTTTAAAAAATATTCAAATTTAAATCATTTAATAACCCTTACATAAATTTCAAAACTTAACATTGAAATGAATTGAACAATAATGTATTCCGTCTCATTAATGTGAAGTGTATATACTATATAGATTAGGGATACTTGATTACTAAAATAATTAACATTTGTCATATATATATTTAATTTAGCTTACTACTAATTGACAGAATAACAGAAAATTAAAGGTTTTGCATATGAATCATGTGTTTAGTAAAGTATTGATGCATGGCATTGGCAGCAACAAAATCATTAAATCAGGTTGATGTTGTGTTGCTCCAACTAAGATAATGATCACATGCCCACCATAAACGTTCAATGCTGGAGAAATTTATTTCTTTATTTTTCTCCTTCCAATATTTTCAAAAAAAAAAAAAAAAAAAAAAAATTCTCCTTACAATGATATGATGACACACATATTATTTTCCAATAAAATTACTTTTTAGTTTAATATATTCCAATAACAAAAGAATATAATCAGTCAGTACTGCAAAGTAATGTAATCTACCCTACACTATTTATTTATTTATTTTGGGTACTAAATAGACCATTGAACTATTTATGAAAGTGAAATTAACACATCAACTACAAAAGCTTTAATTATGCACTTGAACTCAAAAAAAAAAAAAAAAAAAAAAATACACTTTAAATCTTTTTATAGATTATTATCATCAAGTAACTGGTAAAAATTAACTGACTTGACATGGACATAAATCCTAAATGATAAGTTTAAAAAAAAAAATCCTAAATAATAATGTGTAATGTTGCAATGACAGCGCTATCTTTTTCCAGTTTGGAAGAAGATGCATCATCTTCTTCCAAATTAGAAGAAGGTAGACTCGCAATCTAGGAGAAGATTGCACCGTCTTCTTCTAGATTGGAACAAGATTGTACTGTCTTCTTCTGGACTGGAAGAAGATGGTGGAGCTGTCCATAGCAGCGTTTTATAAATTTATTTTTTTAATCGTCTTCTTCCAGATCTAGAAGAAAACGATTGAGCTGACATGCATGGTAGTTATTAATGGTTGTCATGGCAACATTTTTTTTAAGAAAAAGTTAATATCCAAAATCGTCCTCGACTATAGTGGTTTTTCTCAATTTCGTCCTAAACGATTTTGGTGACCTAATATCATCCCAGACTTTTGTGTTTTGCTCAATTTAGTCCCAGACTTTTGTGTTTTTGCTCAATTTAGTCCCTCATTTTTTATTCTATCCATTTGGTGTTAAATAAATAGACAATTCAGTAATTTTAATATTGGCATCTCTTTACTCATAAACATGTGAACTGCGAAATCCTCTTTTATTTTTACGAATTACTCCCGGAATTACTCCTAAAACTGCGAATATAAAATTAGATTTGCAGGTCCGGAAGCAATTTTGGGTGTAATTCGTACAAGAAAGAGGAATTTCGCACTTCACAAGTTGAAAGTAAAGAGAGATCAATTTGACATTACTGAATTGTCCATTTATTTAACACCAATTTGACGGAATAACAAATGGAGGACTAAATTAAGCGAAACACAAAAGTCTGGGACGGTATTAGGTCACCAAAGTCGTTTAGGACGAAATTGAGAAAAACCACTATAGTCGAGGACGATTTTGTGTATTAACTCTTTTTTTTTAATTATAGTTTTCATAAATAATAATAATAATAATAATAATAATAATAATAATAATAATAATAATAATAATAATAATAATAATAATAATAA